TTATAGTAGACATTTCAGTAATTATACGTTCATTCTCTTTTTCTAACTTATCCATGTTTTCTAGGTTTTCCATCATGATATAATGGCCATCAGACAACATTGAACTCGTCAACTTTGTGATGTGTGCAATAATGTCTTCTTTGAACGTGATAACACCACAATTGAACATTTTATTGATATATTTAATTTGATCCCTGTTAGTTCTGATAGAGGTCAGGAGCGTATTTGCCTCATGTCTGCTTTTCTGTACATCTTTTGTTAATTTTTTAAATGTTTCATTGTCATCAGTTTCATGGTCAATTAACTTATCTAGAATATATTCGACCTTGCAGGATTTATGATCATCAGTCATACAATCACCACAACCAACTTGGTCATGGCGAGAACAGAAGAATTTGATAAACCTCTTCGTATGTCTCTCGCATATGACGAAATCTTAAAATCGCTTACCTTTAGATGATTTCTCACGAGCATTAACCCACTGATGACCTTGATTAAACTTTAATTGTTTGTGCGTGTCAAAACAGGGTTGGCACATATGCTTAGAACATTGTGTACAAAATCCATCGGCATAAGTTGAATGGCACTGGCTGCATAGTTTAACAACTTTGCGAACTTTTTTACCAGAGACTTCCATTGTTAGAAAACTCAATCATAACCTGCAAAGATCACTGAAAATATTACTGAGCCGTCTTTATGAACATTAGTACACTGAATGTAATGCACGGTGCTAGTTATTAAGCAATCACGAAAACAAGTGATGTTTTTGTAGTCTGTACACTTTCCTTTTAATGCAAATAAATATTGATAAAAACTTTATCTGAAACATGTGGTGAATAAAGCTATATCTGGACGGAAACTTACTTAGCAATGAAAAGTATATAAAGTTAATATACAATACAGATATATCACTTTACTAAAACAGCAGTGTTCGTTTTGGACAATATGGACGATTTATTTGTCCCCAACCCGTGATGCACGGTGCAACGATTATGCGATACCAGTAGATGTAAACACGATGGCACGATAACGAAGATTAGTTCACACACAATTTAAGTCCATGATGCGGTTGTACCATAGGATAGTAAAATGAAATATAATACCACATCCTCGTAATCGTACCATCGTGCATCACCATCGTACTGTCGTGATATCACAGACGTGCTATTTCACTATCACGATTTCACAATCTTTCCATCGTGTTCTCACTATCATGCCATTTTCTCCCGGTAGTCATTCGCGGATGACATACAGTCAAATTTATACCGTTAAATTATTAATTCATATCTATTTTATCATCAATGTTGACACAATTTTCAAAAAAAATTAAGATACAGTAAAGATTAACTTTATTAATAAAATCTGATGCTCTTTTATATTTTTCAATGTTAAAATGTTGAATATTTCTTGGAACTGTGCTTTATAATTTAACATGCAAATCACACTTAAAATTACCTATATTCACGACATAATGTCTCTATTATTTTTATATATAAAGATAAAGTTAATTACATCACAAATATTGTTTATTATTAAATATGTCGTCCAATGCATTATAAATTTTGTTTCATACACTTCAATGCGATCGTTATAGATCTAAAAGGATAAAGATATTAACACTATCTCGAAAAAATTATGTTTGCTACATTTGACATGTTTTAAATTCACGTGTGTACATCAACAATACATGAAGGCTTGCCCGATTTTTGTTCAGGCTCTATACACATATAGTATATTAAAAGTGTATCACCATTTAAAATTTTTAATAGTTGAATTCTGTATTAGCTGGTGCTAGGGGCGTAGATGGCGCCTTCAATTTCCACTTTCGTCCATAAACAGGCTCACTCTTACATTTTCAATTTTCCGTTTTATGCTCTTGAGCGGTCTTATTTTCTCTATTTTATTAATATAGGCGTCTAATTTATTTTAAAATTATCAGGAAAGAATGATAACGGAACTATAGAATAATAATATAATTATCTTACCTATCGATAAATGCGCTGTTAGTTTCCATTTAAGATAATTTTGAACTATCACAAAATGACAACGTGACAGTGTTCACTGATCGGTATTTGCAGATAACGAGAACAAAAGTAAAATTCTCTTACCTAACGTGAATATTTATGCCGTCTAACTTTGATTGAACAAGTATAATAATTCAAACATTTCATTGGATTTAGAAACAAGTATAATAAATTAAACATTACATTGGATTTAGAAATGCTGTTTGTTTCTTTGTTTCGCTTGGGTCTTTTCATTGATCACGAATTCAATCACAAGATCACGAATTTTTATCAAAAGTCAACGTAAGACAGTGAATAAGAACAACAGGTTACATTAAACACTTTGTACTTTTGAAGTTTTAAAGTCATTTTAAATGTAAAATTTTTCTAGGGGGCTTGGACAACTACCGTCAAGGAACAGGATCAGTCAAACCTAGCCTGGAACATTTCAATTTTGCTGAGCTGATATTTCTTTACGGATCCTGTTTTCTCTATTCTAAGTCATGCCTTTTGTTTTATAAAACTAATATCGAAAGTTGAATTTATCTGCTTAATATCATCAATGTCAAGGATAACTCGTTTGGCAAACTTCCTATCAGGGTAAGGTTGCCTGTCTTATATATGGCGCGCGTAGAATTAGTCTGTTATTAAGCTTTATCAAAGCTTCACTAAAAATAAAACCCTTATCTTAATGCGAAAGATTCATGGTATTTGTAAAAGAATATTTTATCCTTTAAAGTTACTTGATTTATTCATTCTATCCTTTAAAACGTATTCCTTTTGATTAAGAAAGAAGACGCTTGAATGAAATTATCGTCATATTTCTTTGATTTTAATCCATTACATGTAACTCAAACGGAAATACATACGATTTTCAGTTAGATAGATACTGTTTCATAATTGTAACATTTCTTTGGCTGCAGTTATTAAAATTTTAAAGGTTAATGTCAAACTTTCGAATTCCACTTTACCATCAACATTTATCTGTGTTCAACCCAAAACAAACAGATTATAGCTCAAATGGAGTTATTATATTTCTGAAAGTAAAATATTTGCCGATTCCATAATTGCATATGTTTCAAAAGTACCGTGTCTCGTATGATCCACTATTAATATCAATTCAGTCAAATACAAGTTTCAGATCAAGATAGTCCTATGATGGCCCAAATATATGCGTTTATAAACTGACTATGTACTGACCTTTAAGATTTGTGTGATTTGCGTATTTTCTAAAACACGTTTCCTGATAGGTAAATAATTTGTTTTACATCATAAGTCTTTGGAGATAAATATACCATAAATTAGTCTGTAAATGAATATCTCTTAAGTTGCAGATTTATTGTACAATTTTCTAAGTCTTGCAATCATTGTAATAGTTTTGTTATACAAAGGTTTAAATCTACCACCAAAATACTACAAAAATCTAAAGCTACCACCAAAATACTGAATCAGTTAAAGAGAAAATATCCCTGATTACTGAGAGAATATAGATGTAATGACAAAAACATTAAAATCACTTAATGTCACAACAAGACAATACATTTCAATCTCTCTATCATCACCGTTTGGCAGCATGATGAAACATTGTGTTTTTGTACATACGTTTATCTCATCAACGCACTAAGATACTTGAGGAATGTAGTATGTAATGTGGTATTCAAAAATAAACGTGTTAATGTCAGCAACATCAGGTTGATTTTATTCTACATTGATAGCAAGAGTCTTTTGCTTCTTACTCTTTGTATTACTCAATGAATTAGTAATTTACTCTTATGTTGTACGTTAATGATATCCGAAGAATTGCTAAGTATATATTATAAAGAATGCATGCACTTTGTACCAAGCAATACAATAGGAAGTAGTACCGAGCAAATATCAGAAATATTTACCGTTATTTCAAGGTAAATAGTTTATGAAATTGTGTTAAAGGTTTTCACAAACTGCTTTGATTTTTTTATTAAGAAGTAACATTATTAAATTACATTACAGTAGCAGTTATATTCATAGCATACTCTTCCAGGTTTTTGATGTTTTTTTAATTGATCGATTGTGATGCTTACATATAAAAAGATATGCATTGTTTGTGCAAATATAAATTTCTTAAAGTTTCATTAACAAACAGAATTATGCAAAAGTATATACTTGCTTTTGAAAATAGTTTTTGACTTTAAATTGACTTGACTACTCAGAAACTTTTTAAAACTTACAGGTCCCTTTGCAGATTGTTCTTTACAAAATGTACTACAGGTTCGGATTCCCCTTAATGTTTTTGTGGTTCTAGCGTTCTTAATTATGGACTGTTTGAACACCAGTAAGCAATAGTACCTACTTAATAATCAGTCTTTTAGTACCATTATAATATATGAAAATCAAGATCAACAAGGAAGGGCGGTATTAAATGAACACAAACCCCAACAAAGGACCATTACCCTTGAAAGGTTTTAGATTTATCTTATTGTATTTGATTTGTTTCATTTAGGTCGCACATATTTTGAGTTATATGTTTGGTACTTATATTTAGAGCCGACTCAATGTCAAGTATTTCTTTTTTCTACTTTAAGAACATAGAACATAGTAGAAGATTATGTAATTCTTTGGAAAAATGATTCGGGACCTTATGGTGTATTTTTGAATTGCATGATGGAAGCATTTTAAGTACTTTACCGTGCATATTTTTTATTCAACCTTAGACATTTTCTCCGGGGGAAATACGTTTTATCCTTTATTTTATGTGCCATAACAAACAAACCAATGCTAAATTAGTCTGCATATATATAATTATTAAAAAATAAACATCCCTTAATTTCCTCAATCATTATCTAATCTTTACGATTTTAAACATCTGGTAATGTTTTAATATAAGATTAAACAGAAAACTTCAGATATATTATGTTTCGATAAATTCTCTAAAGATTTGAAAGTATTCTTTAATTTACTCATTTATATTCAGACACGTTATAGTATTGCTACGTTTCAGTATTGCACATTGTGCATTTATCTCAGTTTAAATCATTAATGCAATCTGTTCTAAGGCAACACAATATTACTGTAACATAGTTTAATCTGTATAATGTTGGATAATATTTTAGCAAAATGTCAAAATGCACAGTTAACTTTAGACATATGTGTTCAGAACAATAACTATGAAATCACTATGGATTTTACAAATACTTAATAAAAACCTGAACCGGAATACGTTAACTTTAATCATAAAAAAGGTATTTAAATTTTATATTTAAAAAAATGCTGCATACAATTATTATTTTGATAATTAAAAATTTAAAAGATGTCAGTAGGTAATGTTTATGAAAACTCAAAAGATATTTAGCTTCATTATTTTTGTAATTGACACAACAATTCCTCGAAAACCCATGTTACATGTATATATACTAATGGAACGATAACAATAGTGTCGCCATAGTAACCTTATGACATCTATAGTGTTTGCTCGACTAAATATCTTACAAATCATATGTACTTAGTAGGAAATCAAACTTTTTCTATTTCAAAATGTTATTATTATAGATATAAAAGTCAATTGATATGTCAATGATAGTTCGATAATTTTTAAGGGCATTCGTTACCTTGTCGCTGAGGTCGCTGTAGCTGTGCTAAACTTCCTTTTCGTGCCACGAATAAAGAATAGGGTGACATCTTGGGTATAGCTTTTGTATCAGAAGAAATTGGAAAGTATCCTCGTTGTTTACACCATGTCTGGGTATACTAAGACTCAACGCTTGTGAAAGGGTTGCAATAACGATTATTTCCCAGTCTGTACCAAAATGACTACCAATATTTTGAGAGTGACAAAATGTCCGTTTCTTGACCAAGAGTAGTTTTAAATTCAGTGGAAAAGGCTTATTCAACATTTCTGAATTAAAAATAACACTGTAAGTTTAATATTAAAGCGATAAAACTATTCAAACCGGATAAATGGAAAAACAAACTTGTGCTAAAAAGGCCATAAAACAGTAAGTCAATTAGCCTCATGCCTCATGCATATTTAAACATGTGATGTCACATTAAATGTCAATATGAACCTTTTAAATGTTACTATTAGCTGTTATTACTAAATTCTAGCTAATACATTTCTAATTAGTGTATCCAATTATGATATTTGTGTATATCCAGAATAAATGATTATAACGATATTAATTTGTATATTAAAGGGACTCCACTGAGGTTTTTTGACATGATGGGACTGGAAAAATTTTTTCCAGATAAATGTACCATTTGATGTAGGTTTAGACCACGAATCTTTGTGCAAACTTTCAGATCATTCGCGCACTTGTTTTTTCCATAATAATTATTCAAATTGTAAAAAAATGACCCAAAATGAAAAGCGTTTAAACGCTTTTCACTCAAATTAGGCTAAGAAAAGCATAAAACTACGATTTTCGATTCATTTTAAATTATATTTCTTAACTATCTTTTGCATATATTTCTGTTTAAAGCGCCCCACTTCATTTATGTAAGAAATTCTAATGTTATGTTTTTAGGCTTTTAAACCTCAGTGGAGTCCCTTTAAACTAATTATCTATGATATTCCCTCAAGTGAAAGTAATAAATTTATTGCCTTATTCTTTAGAATACATAGATAATATTATACGGGAATGATCTAGAACATTGGCGGCTGTAAAAAGTCTCCCCGTACATTTAGTCAATGATGTTATATTTTCGATCCTTGAATCGTTCAGCACAACATTATTGTTGTTTATACATGTTTTGTGGTACTTTTAGTTTCTTTTATTTGGCGTTTTTTCAACTTGGGTGGTTCCAGTATTCCTACTTGAATACTGTATAATCACCCTTAGGATATGTTGCCTGCTTTTTAAAGTTGTCAAAACAAAATAGCGACAGAAGCCATAAAAGGCTGTTTTCAAACAACGTTCTAATGAATTGTTAAATATAGTAGGCAATATAGTTTTACCAACATTGCGTGAATGCTTTCTCCTAGCGTGTCAAATGATGCGCGTTTCAAGACGTCGATTTCAAAACTAAGCCAAGGTCTTTCAGAAAATGTTTTCGATGGAAAGAAATATGGAAACAATTCTATTGAAACAATGAAATTTCAACATTGAGGTGTCAAATCTAATTAAAGTATTACTAAATATTTGAGCCGCGTCACGACAAGATTAACATAGTGCGTTTGCGACCAGCATGGATCCAAACCAGCCTGCGGATCCGTGCAGTCTGATCAGGATCCATACCGTTCGCTTACCAACTCTTTTACAAGTAGAGAAACTGATAGCGAAGAGCATGGATCCTGATCAGGCTGCGCGGATGCGCAGTCCGGTCTGGATCCATGCTGGTCGCAAATGCATTACGTTGGTTTTGTCGTGACGCGGCTCAAATACTTTATATCATTGCTTCTGAGTATGGAAGGAGTTCAAATGAGGTCAAAAAGATAAAAACACCTTTGACATTCTTTGAAAATCAATCGGGTATTTTAGTTGTCATATTTCAGTTACAAAATATATAAAGATAAAGAGATATACAAAGAATTTTAACTGCAAATCGATGTTTTCTATGCTATGCATTGAGAAAACTACGTAATTATTGTACCGGATTTATGGTTTGTTTTTCCGTGGTAATTTGAATGCAATTGCCAGAGTTTCCATTTAATATAGATACAAAATAATTAAATAAATAAATTGAAACAAAAATTATCGTGTTTAAATGATTAATTGAAGTTTTGTTTGTTCTTAGATTTGATAATTAAAAAATGAAACAAATTGGACATGAAAATCGTTGGGGCGGGGTCGTCCACCACCTTTTTTGAGTTATTTGCCCTTAAATTGTTTCCGAAACAAATTGTTGCAATGATAGGATCTTACAGCAAGATAAACGTGCAAAGACTGGTTTCTGGTAGGACGAAACGTATTTGACAATACAATACAGGTTATAAATGTATTAATTTAATTATTACATACAGTTTTATTTATATTTCTTCTGTGCTGTTTTTATCCTTGAAAACAATGTATTATCAAATGCCACCATGTTTGATAATTTTCTATCAGTTCAATTGGTGATTTTCTTATTGTATAGAAATCCTATAGTAATGTAAATAATACTGACTAATATATTCCAAGAAACATCTTCATCATTCATGCCACAAGTGATATTTTACATAAAACAACAACAATAATACAAAATGTAAACCTAAGAAACAAGTAGACATTCTGAGAGCATGCAAATATAAATATAAGTTTTATTGCTTCCTCTATTTAAAGCTTGTACATATATTGGAAAACATAGTTCGTCCATTTCATTTACTGGGGAATGACATAGAGGATATTTGTTTGCTTGCGTGTCAGATGAAATTTTACTTCATTTCGTGAACTTTAGAAACAGCATTCTCACGACTGGCGTAGCCATGAGTGAGAATACTGTTTTTAAAGTTCACGAGATGAAATGAAATTACATATTACACAACAAACAAACAAATTTTGTTTCTATTTTATTCTTAAAAACAAGTTTAAATGAAATTTCCTTAATATTAACTTTGATATTAATATCTGTTTTCCCCACTGGTAGCCTCATTTTAGTCGAATTGCTCATAAAATACAAGAAGTCTTGGGCTGAAAAAATAAGTTCGTCAATCAACGTTAAATTGCGATAATATAATTCATATGAATGATCGCTTGTTTTAATTATAAAAACAAACACTTTTAGTAGAAGAAAAAGTCACACCATTCGACCTTATTTCTGTTACTAACCACGCCCGTTTAACTCACAACGAGTGAAAAATGTCCATCGGTAAAAATGTTGTGAGCAACTTCCGTTCCTCGTTGTGAGCACCCATCTATGACGAGTGACACGATAAACAAGGTGAGTTTTTCATAATTTTTGAAGATTACAGACATTTATGTAAAAATATTGAAATGCAGTTAGCTAACCCTGTGTTTTCCGAGTATGCACATGTAAAGATATTGCCTGTTGGTGGACAATTTGATGGAAATACCGTGCGACGCAGTCACTCGGGGTAGCTGGAAAACTGGAGACAACTTCTCTTTGGATATAATTTAACATTGAAAACGTCGATTCTGGTGACGTTTTGTGCATTCTAAACTAAAACAGATGCCCACAAGTCTTCAGCGTAAATTATTATCTGAAAGTCTTCATAGAAACGAAGATATACCTTATTTTGCTTTAATCCTGTGAGCACCATAACCTCGTTGTGAGCAAGACAAGCGCAGTGCGTGTATGGTTTTAATATGTATTTCAGATGGTGAAAATATAATTTTCAATCTACCACAGCAATTAAAACGTTTTTGCACAGCAGCATTTCTTTGCAAGACGTTGTGCATACCCCAAAGGGAGGCATACTAGTTTTGAACTGTCCGTCTGTCAGTCTGTCAATCTGTCCGAAAACTTTAACATTGGCCATAACTTCCTTATAAGTAAACGGATTTGATTCATATTTGAACACAACATCCCTTAGCACCTTCCTACGGACCTGTTTTTTTTTACCTTGACCCCTGAATGGCCTTTACCTTGAAGGTCAAATTGTCCAAAAACATTTAAGATTGGCCATAATGTCCTGTCATAATGTTTAGGCACAACACATCTTTGGACAAGGCCTTTCAACTATCCTTTATTTTTTTGACCTTGACCCCTGAATGACCTTCACCTTGAAGGTCAAATTGTCCAAAAACTTAAAAATTGGTCATAACTTCCTTATTAGTATACGGATTCTACTCATATTTTGAAACAACATCCCTTTAGGCAAGACCTTCAAACTGATCTGTATTTTTTTTACCTTGTACCGTGGATGACCTTCTAGAACATCCAAAAACTTTAACATTAATCACAACTTCTTTATAAGTAAGTGGAAATAATTCATATTTGGACACAATGCCCCTTTGGACAAGACCTTCCAACTGACCTATATTTATTTCACCTTGACCTTGAATTACCTTCACATTGAAGATCTAATTTTCCAAAAACAAATAATCTACCTGGTCCATAAATCAAAGGAAAAAACACCACTTCAGGAGCATTGTCAACTTACCGTTATAGTTCTTGTTTTACATAACTTGGTCAGTCTTCAGCTCAGGATAAACCCATGTATGTGTGTATCACACAGATTGTGAAATTGTTGAAATATTCATAAACACCCCGTGATGTTCACTCGTGCCACACTAGAGTATACGAAATAAAATACCTGATTTACCTCCACTGATTAGTTCTTCTGTTAATCTGATGACTTGTGAAT